ACATCAACACCAAGATCATCCAGCACACCGAGGCGATGAGACTTGCGACTGGCAAGGCCGTTGCTGAGGTTCGACAAGAGGCCGAGGACGAATGGGTCGAACACTGTAATGCATTGGCGAATGCAACTCTCTTCCCTCAAACCCCGTCGTGGATCTTCGGCAACAACGTCGAGGGCAAGCCGATCGCCTCTAGATACTACATGGGCGGCATGGTGAACTACTTGAAGTATGTCAACACGATGATCCAGGACGGCTATCGGGACTTCAAACCAATCGGCCAGGCGGCGTAGATTCTGCTGCAAGTACATCAAGCTCACGGGCAGGATGTTCCCCCCTGTATTTGCTGTATTAGGGTGTTACTATCACCATTTCCGCTAGATATACGTTCCTTTTACAGGACACGTTTGGAATGCAATGCTACGAATAAGTCCTTTGTCTCTCAGATCCCACCTTCGTCCATCCCTCATCTGTGTCTCGATAGCGGGGGATGACTAACTGCAGAGCGTAGACGACTTCAGAGTTGATGCCCACAGCCCGAGTTTGGTAGCTAATTCCCAATTCCCTGCGAGGGAGCTAGGTCTAAGTCTTCCATGCCACCAACCATCTATAGTGTCTCGACTTCAATTCAAACAGCAAAGTCACAGAGCCAAACCACACGACCGGTGGAAATGGTGAAAAAGGACAGTGCATAGGCCGAGTTCTAGAACCGTCGGTCCTTTGTGCCGCATCAGCATCATCCTCGTGTTACTCGCGTGCTCACTATCAATGGACCCTTGCGTCTAAAGGGGTGCCACGGCTAAAATATCTAGATCAGGAATGGTCAAAATATTGGGTGGGGCTTTCAGTGGAGAATTCCCGCTTTGGGAAATTTGACACAGCCTGGGAACTTGTTCGATTCCAATGACCATGACCACAACCATGAGTCAAATTCCACACCACCGTGATAAGGCTCTGAATTTAAGCTACTAGGCACCTTGTCGCACCTCCGCACGAAAAACCAGCCATACTCACCTGAAAGCCGGTTTCATCTTTTCCATCTTCTGGAAACGCAACGGAGGATACCAAGAACAAGTCAATAACGAAGCGCCCAAAAAAATGGCCAACACCAAGTACAACCTTCCCTTCCAGCTTCAGAACTCTGACTTATTTCATGAAGACTCGTATGTGGACGGCAAATGGGTTCAGGCAAAGAGCGGCAACAGGTTCGCCGTCATCGACCCAGGCACAGATCGACCTTGGGCCTCCTGTCCCGACAGCGCGGTAGAGGATGTTGAAACGGCTGTACAATCTGCACACAGAGCGTTCAAAGGCTACAGAGTCCTCAATCCTCGCAAACGAGCTCAACTGCTCTTCAAGTGGCACGAACTGATCGTGGCCGCCAAAGATGATCTGGCAACCCTCCTGACGTACGAAACGGGAAAGCCAATTCCCGAGTCCCACGGCGAGCTTGACATGGCGTTGGGTTTTGCCTGGTGGTTTGCCGGAGAGGCCGATCGCATCCAGGGCACTGTATTCACACCGTCGGCGCCGAATCGTCGAACAATGACGATTAAACAGCCCATCGGCGTGGTCGCTGCACTGGTCCCGTGGAACTATCCTGTCGCCATGATTTTGCGCAAAGTAGCTGCTGCGTTCGCGGCTGGCTGTACCGTCGTTGTCAAGCCCAGCCCCGAAACACCTCTGACCTGCCTGGCTCTTGCCCATCTAGCGAGTAAAGCAGGTACGTCGGCCGAGGTTATTTTGTGAAAGATGATGTGTCTCACCAGAAGAAAAAAAAACAGGATTTGCACCCGGTGTATTTAATGTTCTCACCACCAGCAACGAGAATACGCCTGCGTTGTCCGAGGCCCTGATCACACACCCGGACGTCAAGAAGGTTACCTTCACGGGGAGTACGCGCGTGGGCAAGATCGTCGCTTCTCTCTGCTCGAAGAACCTCAAAAAGTGTTCTCTCGAATTGGGAGGGAACAGTCCGTACATCGTGTTTGATGACGCGGATCTCAACCAAGCAGTCGATACCCTGATGCTACTGAAGTGGAAGCATGCTGGTCAGTCATGCATCTCCGCCAACAGGATATATGTCCAGGCTGGAATATACGACAAGTTCACCCAACTATTAGTCGAGAAGACAAAACACCTCAAAGTCGGCCATGGCTCGCAGAGCAGTACAACCCTTGGTCCTGTCACAGTAAGTTAGAGCTAATCGCGCACACTTCATCGAAATTAGTCGCTCCGTTGATGAGCCCCATGATAACTGGCTGACAAACATCCCCCCTTGCAGACGCCTCGATCTCTAACAAAGATCAAAGCTCAAGTGGCCGACGCCCTAGAGCAGGGGGCAAGTCTCGCTTCAGGCACTGGCAAACCTTATGTAGGGGCAACAGAAGAAGAAGGCTCTGGGCTCGGCAAAGGCACCGGTGGCTATTTCATTGACCCAATTATCCTTGTCAACATGAGCCGAGACATGCTTATCAGCCGGGAGGAGATCTTTGGACCAGTTGCCGCTTTGTTCAAATTTGAAAGCGAGGACGAGGTCGTGGCATGGGCCAATGAGACTTCCATGGGCCTAGCCAGCTACGCATTCAGCAAGAACGTCGATCGTATCTGGAGACTCTATGAAAACTTGGAGGCGGGCATAATTGGATTGGTAAGTCAACATCGCACACCGCTTAGCTGTCTCTCAGGGCGTGATGAAAGCTAATGTTTTGTGTGCCCTGCCAGAACACCGGAAGCAGCACATCTGCGGAGGTTCCATTCGGCGGAATCAAAGAAAGTGGTTACGGAAAGGAGGGAGGCAAGGATGTTGGGGTAGACGAGTACCTGTACACGAAGACTGGCACTTTGACTATCGAGGGCCAGTATTAGAGGTTGTAGAAGACGAAAGCAACACTTGAAAGCATAGCCTCGGCACAGAATGATCTCGAAACCGTCATCATGTTCCCTCCGTAAATCCAGCCTGAGTGTCCAGATCATGCGACTAGAATCTGGGTGTATGCGATATAGAGTCAGGCCATTTTTTGACGCGTAATACTACCAATTTCGGCAAAGGCATAACCATCGTGGTCTGGGCTCTACGGATGACTTCTTTTTGTATGACGCATTCACGAACTTGCGTCTTCTGTTGCTCCAGATAAAAACAGCACCCTGCAGCGGCCAGGATCTATCTGACTCCCGTCCACAGACAGAGATCTCGTGCGAAAAAATGTCCCTCCCCCATCCCTCACCACTGCCATCATTCTGGACCTCCAGTCCGGACACCCTGCGCAATCATCGAACCACCGACGTGCTCCCTGAAACCGCAGATGTTGTGGTGGTAGGATCTGGCTACTCTGGTGCCGCCACGAGCTATTTTCTCCTTAGGAATCCGGAAGCCCGATTGTCGACGGTCATTCTCGAAGCTCGGGAGGCATGTTCTGGTGCCTCGGGGCGCAATGGTGGGCATCTCAAGCCGGATCCGCACTTCGCCATTTCCCGATGGCAACGAAGATATGGTCTCAAAGTCGCCAAAGAGATGTCCGAATTCGAGATGCGACAGGTGTGGGACGTGAAGAAGCTGATCGAGGACGAGAAGATCCGGTGTGATTTCGAACTCACCAGAGCCATGGACGTGTTTGTCGACGAGCGAAGCGCAAAGCCCGCTATCGAGGCGTACCTGCAACTCCAGCGCTCTGGCTTCGAATTCTCCCCCGACCTCCAGGTGATCCTGGAGCCCGAGCGAGCAGAACGTATCTCGGGCGTCCGTGGAGCGCTTGCGGCATTTACGTATACGGCAGGGTCCGTTTGGGTTCTCAAACTCGTCTACCATCTCCTCCGGCGATGCTTGGAATGGGGTGCAAATCTACAGACCAACACGCCCGCGCTGTCGATTTCACCTTCGCGAGATAGCGAGGGGTACTATGCCGTGGAAACGACACGCGGCGTCATCCGGGCCCGCAACATCGTCGTCGCCACAAACGCCCACACTGGCGCGCTCCTCCCAGAGTTTCAAGGGAAAATCACCCCGGTGCGAGGCGTGGCGGCAAGAATAGCCATTCCTGCCGGCAAAGACAAGACCCCCCACCTGAACAATACGTATTCGATCCGGTTCGGCCCTGAAGAGTACGACTATCTGATTCCTCGGTCGGATGGCAGCATCATTGTAGGCGGGGCGAAGCAGGTGGTCCTCTCGGACGACAGCAACTGGCTGGGCAACTCGAACGACTCGGAGCTGATTCCAGGGGCAGAGGAGTATTTTACGGGCTATATGCAGCGCCATTTCCGCGGGTGGGAGTCGTCAGACGCTCGAGTGACTCATCTTTGGACAGGAACGATGGGCTTCAGTGAAGATCTGGCCCCCTGGGTTGGCGAGTTGCCCGGAAAGCCGGGCGTCTTTGTGGAAGCAGGCTTCACCGTGAGTTCTTCCCTCGTCAAATCGATTGCCCCTCGGGGAAATCATTGCAAGGTTGGCCTGGGTATTAAAGCTAACAATTTCTAGGCTCACGGCATGCCACTGATCTATGGCTGCGCCGAAGCCATCGCAAAACTTGTGCGCGGCGATATACAGCATATCAGCGACGAGGATGCGCAAATTCCGTCACCTTTATGGATCACGCCCGCGAGGCTGAACACACAGCTTCGGCTTGCCCGAGAGCATATGCTTGGTAACAGGGCCAAGGAGTTGGCGAAATTGTAAAGGGGCCCAACGTCTCCCCCATGAACAATGGTTGATGCTTTTCCCGCCTTCTTCTGCCCGTGGGGGATCATCTTGAGGCGCCTCACATGCCACGGCTCTCATACTGGATTTTTTCAAGTCAACGGCCCGTGTTCATAACAGAATCAATGATTTGAAAAGCCACTTCGTCTTTCTTGCAAGCCAAAAAAGAATGTCCACGTTTTCTATTCATGCTCTCTATATTCGCAATCTTTTCAAATGTATTGGTATCAATAGACCCATGGTGGATTGTAGAACCGTCATACAATGAGACTGATACACACTCTGAGACCCAGAAACCAAATCTGATTTATTGCAAAGCCACAGCGTCCAGCTCTACATCGACACCCAGAGGCAATTGCTTCACGGCGACGCAAGTTCGTGCTGGCTTATGTGTGAACCACTTTTCGTACTCGGCATTCATCTCAGCAAAGTACTTCATGTCGGACAAGAAGACCTTTTTCGAAAGGTGCCACATAATCGTTAGCTCCCCATGTCTTTTCCAGGTCTCTCTCTCTCCGGAAGGGGAATCAATCGCAAAACTCACTCCGACCCTGGTGACTTTGCCCAGCTCGCTCCCTGCGGCTTCCAAGATGGCCTTGATATTGCAGATGGAGTGCGCCGTCATGGCACAAATGGACTCGGTGACCACCACTCCGTTCGAATCGATAGGAAGCTGGCCGGAGACCCAGACAAGCCCGCCGGCTTTGATGGCAGGGCTATAAGGGCCAGCCGCTAAGCACCACTGTCAAACTTCGACTCGGACTTGTACATGGTCGGCTCCAACACTCACGGGGACAAACGTCCAGAGACACAACGGAACTCAAGGGAGAGGAGGCCATTCTCGGGGAAAAAGAATTTCTGGAAGGATCTTGATAACGGCCAAAAAAATATACAAGACAGAGTAAGGAGCCGGTAGAACTATGAAGGATCTTCTCACTTATGCTGTTTGTTTGGCGCTCAATGTGTGTGTGACCATTTTTTTTCGTCCGGAGAGCTTAGTAGTCCAGTCCCTTCAATTGTGAAGAATCTGCTGCCAAATGGTAACCATTGCCCTCTGCTAAGTGGTATTCAGGCGCCTGAGCATGGTCACGAAGCACGAGCATCCATTTCCGCGCGCTCCCAGCTCACGGATCGGCAGTGAATTTGGCACGGTCTGTTTGTGAAAGAAGTCTAGTTGATGCAGGGGCCGATGCAGGGGCCAGATTCGTATCTTTGGCCAATCCAGTAACCATGAAGCATTGTCAGAACCATGACGTAGGTGTCGTATTACCAGATCGGGAGATTTTTGCCGTTCCTTCCTGAACGGAACCCTCCCACCCCCCCCCTTCCAGGCCTCTCCCGTCACATCTCAAACTGGCAAACAAAAATCCAATAATGTCCGTGTATCAGTCGGAAGTGCTATTACCGAAAAGGGGGAAATGACTCGAGCGTTAGTTCTCCCTGTCAAAGGCAACGCTGCTGTTGTGCCTTGAATGCAGATATCTTAAATGCGAGAAGGGGTCACTGATAGGGCATACGAGTGTTTGTTGAAACCACCTTTGAAAACCCGCTGACAAGGAGTCTCGTCGTTGCAATGTGGGCTACTGCGCGGATCGTTCCCGACACTGTGAATGCGACACCGAGCAGCGGAGTGGTACACGATTCGCCCACGGGTGGAATGACCAGGGGTCTCAAGAAACCATGGGTTTCGACTCCGTTGATCGAGTCGCCGGGCTTATCTGAAGCTGCCGGATGGTACGTGGCTCTAGAGCAGCAGCAGCAGCCTGCTTGTTGTTCTTGTTGTTGTTGGGTTCCAACCCTGGCTTTGGTCGTCTTTTCCATTGTTACTAAATCGTAGAAGCAGAATCTTCCTGAAGCTCGACAACTTCCAGCCCTCCGGATCCTTCAAGTCGCGCGGCGTGGGCAACTACGTCCTGCAGCGTGTTCGGGAACGACAAGACGCCTCCTGCGGCCATCTGAACAACAAGACCCATTTTTACGCCTCATCCGGCGGTAACGCAGGGTTGGCATGCGTCCATGCCGCTCGCTCGCTAGGGTATCCTGCTACGGTGGTCGTGCCCACGGCAACCAAGCCTGACCTCGTCGCCATGCTTTGGGCCAAGGGCGCTGCCAATGTCATCCAACACGGGCATTCGGTCTTGGAGGCGGATCGCTATCTCAAGGAGACGGTTTTAAAATCGGATCCAGACGGAGTCTATGTGCCTCCCTTTGACCATCCGGACATTTGGGACGGCAATTCGACTGTCATGGACGAGATCGCCACCCAGATGCACCCCGAGAAGCCCGACGTGGTCGTCTGTAGTGTCGGCGGAGGCGGCCTTCTGAACGGCATCATGCAGTCTTTGGATGCCAGATCATGGATCGACGACGTGTCCGTCGTGGCGATGGAAACCCAAGGAGCCGATTCGCTCAGTCAATCCCTCAAGGCCGGTCGGCTAATTACCATGGATAAGATAACTTCACAGGCCAGAAGTCTGGGGGTCGCCAGGGTCTCGCAGCGAACATGGGAGTACGCTCAGCGGCCACGGGTCATAAGTGCTGTGTTACCAGACGACCAGGCCGCAAAGGGCTCCTTGCTCCTGGCCCAAACGGAGAAGATCATCGCCGAGTTGACGGTCGGAGTCAACATTGCGCTCTGCTTTGACGGTTTATTGGAAAAGGTCCTTGGCCGCAAAGTAACAAAGTCTACAAAGGTGGTTATCGTTGTTTGTGGTGGCAATGACATCAATCTGGAGATGTTGACCGAGTGGATGAAGGCTGGCCATTCCTAGAGTGGTATGTTGTTTTTGTATTGCTTCCTGGGAGTATCAAGGAACAGACAGAGTAGAACGCGATATTTGGGAGGCTGGACATTATTCTCCGGTGAGACTGAAAAGGAAAAAATACAAGAACCAAAGTAAATAGGCTCAAACACCGCACAGGTTATAAGGATGAAAATGACTAGTCGATGAGCCGTATTTCACATCGCGATAGCCGGTCCTCGGCCCTGAATTTTGTGATATAGACATGGCCAAGTACGATGAGATGGAGGCACATGGTACGCCTCGAAGGACTCTCAGTGGCGTACAGAGGTATAATCATTGCTTATCGGAAGTATATACTAGACACGTCAAATAGAATAAAGCCCGTATCTTGATACCGCAACACCGTAATGAATAAAGTAATCACCCATCGAGAGATCAGATCCAGGTTAAAATAGTCAAATCTGGCAATCACATCCGCCACTGTCCAGAACGGGCTCAAGGCTTGTCATTGGTACTACATCCCCTTGGCTGCAACACTTTGTATAAGAATGTTCGTGAGTGATGTTTTGGAAAGTTATATGGCAACAGACCTAGGGATCATTCTCGAGAAAACTACATCGCCATGGCCTCTATCGTACGTTATCTCCATTTCCAGATCGTGATTCAGGACTGATGAATATTTTCCTCACTTCAGCAACACAATCGACCTTTCAACCACGTCGGAGTTTCCGTGCCGGACATCCAGAAGGCGGTGGATTGGTACTCGTCGCTCTTCGGTTTTCAGCTCATTGGCAACAAAATCCACGACATCAAGCGCGCAGAGGTACCAAATGCTCCAATTTTCGGCATCTATCCAGAGTCGCTGCAGCATGTCAAAGTCGCGTACATGGCGACCGGAAACGGCGTGGGTTTCGAGTTGTTCGAGTTCGGAAATCCAAAGACGTACGTTCCGGAGAAGGAGTTTGAGTACCACCGAGGCGGTTTCTTCCACATCTGTGTCACGGACCCAGAGCCTGACGCGCTGGTGGGGAGAATCGTAAAGGCAGGAGGAAAGCAAATTGGAGCGACTGTCGATCCCGTGTTTCCCGTCCCCAAGAACATCAAGTGTCTCTACGCAGCAGACCCGTGGGGCAACGTGATCGAGATTCTGGACATCAGCTTCGAGCGCCTGACGACGCTTGCTAACCCTTCTTCAAAATAAACAACTTCTGTCCGATCAGAGGCCAAGGGTAGTTCCTCGCGTCTAATACAAAATCACGTTTCAAAACGTCCTAGATTATTAGGAAGATAGGTTGTTAAACGATTGCTTGTGATAGATCGCGTCGGAACGTAACGGTAACCTCGGTTGTTTTAAAAGGACAACGAGGACACCCAAAGGTCTGTACACCCTGGAAGAGCGGAGCCTCCTCCGGCCATCTTCCATGAGACTTCGGTTGTCGTGCAATTGCAATGGAAAGGGGGTCTATGAGGTTTGATCACAACACGTGGAGATCTAGAGCGTGCGGCTCTCGCATGAGTGTTCGGGGCTAAGATATGGAAGACAAAACGCACAGAGCGGGGGTCTCCTTTGAGCAGCTTGATCGATGCTGAGTTGGGATTTCTGCGGCAAACAAATATCGATAACCGATAGACCGGTAGTATACCTAGACATGTGTACCTCTACATAATTTTGTCGCACGCTGCAACCTTCAAGAAGCAGCTCCTGCTCAGCTCCATCGAGGGAAAATCGGGAATCTGGGTCGGCAACAGCGTCCGGATTAGGCAGACCCCGTCTTCTTCTGGCGCAGGGAATTCGAGGCTCTCTGATGAGCCGCAGAGTAATATTGATACTTTGAGCGGCCTCAACTTCCGCTTTAGGTAAGTTTAGCCTGGGTCCAGGCCGGGCTGAATGGTTGGTTGTCGCATGGTCAGCTCGGAATTTTGCTGTCGTCTATGTTGCTTCACTGGACCAGCGGTCGTCAATACCGTTCTTTAAATCTCAAAGAGACCTACTCATCTTTCGCTGTCACCAGAGAAGCGTATGGCGCACAGGAAGACCCAAGAATCGGAAGAGCTGCGCATGTTGAAGACCCCTATCAACCGGTTGAAGGCCACCACGAGCCATCTAATAGCAATGCAATCGCAGTCCCACCAAATCGTGGACACGGCCAATTTCCTGGACAACGAACTGGTACCTTCTCAGACACAAGAATGGATCGATGTTCATGACCCGGCGACCAACAGCCTCGTCACCAGAGTCCCACAGAGCACTCAAGAAGAGCTAGAAGCGGCGGTCAGATCGGCTCAGAACGCGTTCTCGTCATGGCGTGCCACCTCGATCATCCGAAGGCAGCAAGTCATGTTCCGGCTGACGCACTTGATCCGTCAAAACATGGACACGCTCGCCGCCTCGATCGTGCTCGAGCAGGGCAAAACTCTTGCAGATGCAAAGGGCGACGTACTACGAGGTCTCCAGGTCTGCGAAACAGCTTGCGCCATCACCACGCAATCGACGGGGGAGGTGCTTGAGGTCGCGACGGATATGGAGACAAGGTCGTATCGGGAACCACTGGGCGTTGTGGCGGCTATATGCCCTTTCAATTTTCCTGCAATGATACCACTGTGGTCACTTCCATTGGCGACTGTGACCGGAAACACGCTCATTCTGAAGCCTAGCGAGCGAGATCCTGGAGCCGCCATGATCATCGCTCAGCTGTGCAAGGAAGCCGGGTTCCCTCCTGGGGTCGTGAATATCGTCCATGGGTCGGCAAAGACGGTCGATTTCATCATCGATGCACCAGTTATTCGAGCCATCTCGTTCGTCGGGTCGAACCGCGCCGGTGAATACATCTATAGACGCGCCTCTGAGCAAGGCAAGCGGGTACAAGCCAATCTCGGTGCCAAAAACCATGCTGTGCTCATGCCGGATAGCAACAAGAACCACGCCATACACTCCATCATTGGTGCCGCCTTTGGTGCCGCCGGTCAACGCTGTATGGCACTGAGTGTGCTCCTTTCCGTGGGAGAAACCCAGCAATGGATTCCAGATCTTGTTGAACGGACCAAATCTCTCCGAGTGGATGGAGGCTTTGAAAACGACGTCGATCTGGGGCCTGTGATCACTCCCCAGGCGAGAGAACGGGTCGAAGGTTTGATCGCGTCTGCCGAGGAAGAAGGCGCGACCATTTTACTGGACGGTCGTGGGTATAAGCCCAGCAAATATCCCAACGGCAACTGGGTACGTACTGTTCTCACTCCCCATGTTCCAGCTCCAAGATTTCTAACCGGCTGAACTCAGGTGGGCCCTACCATCATCACCAATGTCAAGCCACATATGCGATGCTACACGGAAGAGATATTTGGGCCGGTGCTTGTGTGCCTAGATATCTCCACCCTCGACGAGGCTATCGCGCTGATCAACGACAACCCTTATGGGAATGGGGCGTCCATCTTCACGACATCTGGGGCCGTGGCCACACGGTTCCAGAAGAACATTGAAGCCGGCCAGATTGGAATCAACGTGCCGATCCCTGTGCCCTTACCGATGTTCAGCTTCACAGGCAACAAAAAGAGCGTGGCAGGGACGGGACTCGCCAATTTCTATGGCAAAGATGGATTGAGATTCTACACTCAGTGGAAGACTGTCACCAGTTTCTGGGGGTCGAAAGACGCTTCCTCGACGGAGAAGAGTGTCAGCATGCCCACCCAGTCATAATAACAACAGGCGGCGTGTGTCGTTATCAAGCTGGATGTGTGGCGCATTGGGGGGCCCAAAAAGAGTCCTTGAGCGCATTTCACAGCGACATCAAACGTGGTCATGGGGAGGTCACGCCCTGCCGAAAACAAAGTGAGGCAGCCAGTGTTTACGCAGAAGATGAGTTCTTGGGAGCTACTGATGCCGCTTTGTGGAGTTTGTCTTTTCCCCGGTGACAACAATAGTTCAATACTGATCGGGAAAAATATAAGGCATACGAGCTATGGGAAATCACATACGACAGGAGGGAGGTCGACAGTTAGCCGATTCGTAAAGGCTAAATTAGGCCCCCGGTGCGTTCAGCTTAGGGAGTACTTATAAGTAGGGTAGTAGTTAGCCAAGGCCCGAATGGGATCCCTAAGCTCGATGTCTTTCGGGCGCGCCCCCCCCGACGTTCCGTTAGGTGCACAATTAAAGTGGCCTGGCTCCGTTTCGTAAACGAAAATAGTAAGTGATAAAGTACAGTTCGGAGATTACATATGTATATGTATATATATATATATACACGTTCACGTTCTTCGCCCGTCTCATTCTACCGCCAATTTGTCCTTCAGCCACGCGTCGTCTCTGGCCGTGAATGCACAGTCGTAGGCTCTGGGTACGGCAATCAGGCCCATGACGTCGGAGAAGTCGAGTCTGCCGATCGAGGGGAGTCTCGTGCCGGGAACCTCTTTGAGACGGAAAGCCAGGATCAGGCGGACGAGCATGGCGTAGATGATGCGGTTGGCGATCATGTAGGCCGGGCAGATGCGCGATCCGGTCCCGAAGGTGAGATGGGGCAGGTGGGAGGACGTGTCGCCGAGGAATCTTTTCGGGTTGAACGCCAGGGCGTCCGGACCGTAGTGGTCCGGGTCGTGGTTGACGCCGCGGATGTTCATCGTCACGCCCACGCCCTTGGGCAGTGTGGCGGTGTCTCCGACGGTCACTTCTCGCGACGTGCGCCGCATGTTGAACGCCGACGTGGCGTAGAAACGCAGTGTCTCCTTGTACAGCGACACCAGCAGGGGCACTTTTTCTTCCTGGAAGGCCATGTCCCACGCCCGATCGCGGTCGCCGTCGTAGACCTCGAGAATGTTCTCCAGGCACTCTTCCTGGAACACCTGCCCGGGCGCGCTCGACAGCCACGCCATGCATTGATACGTGCTCGACGAGACGGTGTCCGGCGCGGCTTGCAGGATCGACATGCAGGTGCCAAACAGCTCGTCCGGCGTCAATCTCTCGGATCTCATCGACGACACCAGACAGTCGGGGGCCTTTCCCTGTTCCACCTTGCGTCGGTACTGCTCGTGCAGGACCTTGGCGCATCTGTTTCGTTCCTGCGCCGCCGCGACGAGCTTGGATTTGGACCACGGCCACATGCGAAGCAGCGGCACGTAGTGTCGGTATTCGGCCGTCGACCCACGACATTCGGTGATGACGTTCAGACTGTTCAACAACTTCGTGGCCAATTCTGGATCAAAATCTCCGACGCGGATCCCATATGTCATGTGTAGGGCCAAATTGAACATGATCTTTCACGCCCCCCTCCCGGTTAGCTTCAGAGGGGAGATGCTTGGGTGGTTTGACGAACCTGACGTAGCCACGGATATGTCTCGAGGGGAACCTGTCCGTTCTTCCCACTCTGGTAGATCTTTGTGATGAACTGGACCGAGTCCGGCTCAATCAGTTTGTAATATCCCGGCCACATTGATTTTCCGAGAGCTCTCTACGACCAAAACGAGTCAGTACAACGGGGAAATACAGAGAGAAGGTCGAAGAAACGTACAACCGCAGCTGCTCTGCACTTCTTTACGTCCGGAGTCAAGGAAGACCCCGAGATGTCGAGCCCAATGTAGTCGGAAAACCCGTGCTGGTGCACCCGGTCCAGCATGCAAGTGTTCTTGGAGACGAAGAGCTCCTCCATGACGGCCCAGGAGCTGACGATGACGGTCCGTTGATAACCCAGTTTGATCTGGTAGATCCCCGACGCCAGTTGTCGGCTCCATCGCGAGAAGATGTCGGCGTCGTTGACACCCAGACGACCACCCAGGAATGGCAGGTGGCCGACAAAGGGCAACGATCCTGGCGCTTCGGGGATGTTGGCGATGCGAGGATAATTCGTTCGATATGCCGACCACTGTAAGTCACTCCGGTTAAAAGCAATGGATCAATGACCAAGTGAATCTGTATCTTTGTTTATTGCTTACGATGAGAACGAGGACTGCCAGAGTGAGTCCGACAACGACAGCAGCAGGCCATCCCCACGCCAACGCCAATCTTGGTACAGAGAGTGAGACTTCCGACAAAAAGTCGTTTGCCTTTGCGTGACCATAGGTATTCATCCCGGATCGGTCCTCGGAGTCTCTGAGTCGATATGGGAAGGATGTTTCTGGTTCTTGCGGTGAGAATGAGCCACTCAAGGAGCCATGGGGAGATCAACAGCGACGATGTAAAAGGAACCTTGGAAGCACTGAGTTGGATTGCTGCAA